GGCATGGGAAGGGGGATTTGGGGGGTACAGGGCATGGGGAGGGGGGAGTTTGGGGGGTACAGGGCACAGGGAGGGGAATTTGGGGGGCACAGGGCATGGGGAGGGGGGAATTCGGGGGGCTCAGGGCATGGAGAGGAGAATTTGGGGGCACAGGGAGGGGAATTTGGGGGGCACAGGGCACGGGAAGGGGGATTTGGGGGTGCCCAAGTGAGATCCACATGTTCCCTCATCCTAAAGGGGCAGAGAGGGGGATTTGGGGGCTCAGGGAGGGGAATTTGGGGCCACAGGACACAGGAAGGGGGAATTTGGGGTGCCCGAGTAAGATCCACGTGTTCCCTCATCCCAAAGGGGCAGGAAGGGGAATTTGGGGGGCACAGGGCGGGGGGAATTTGGGGGGCAAAAGGCATGAGGAGGGGGAATTGGGGGGACACAGGGCACGGGAAGGGGGATTTGGGGGTGCCCAAGTGAGATCCACGGGTTCCCTCAGCCCAAAGGGGCAGAGAGGGGAATTTGGGGGGCACAGGGCACAGAGAGGGGGGTTTGGGGGGCACGGGGGGGGGGGGTGGGGGGGGGACACAGGGCACGGGAAGGGGGATTTGGGGGTGCCCAAGTGAGATCCACGGGTTCCCTCAGCCCAAAGGGGCAGAGAGGGGAATTTGGGGGGCACAGGGCACAGAGAGGGGGATTTGGGGGGCACGGGGAGGGGATTTGGGGGGCACAGGAAGGGGAATTTGGGGGTGCCCGGCCCAAGGGCAGCAGCAGCAGGAGGAGGGAGGAGCTGCAGGAGCTGCAGGAAGTTTCCCTGGCACAGGATTCCCAGAGAATCCTGGATTCCACATCCCTGGAAGTGCCTCAGGCCACGGTTGGGGACACCAAACACCCCAGAGGTGACACCAAAGAGCCCAGAGGTGACACCAAAGAGCCCAGAGGTGACACAAAACACCCCAGAGGTGCCACAGGACAGCCCAAGGCAGCTCTGGGAGCCCAGGGGGTGACAAAAGTCAGCCCAGGAGGAGACACCAAACACCCTGAGCAGCTCTGGGAGCTCAGGAGGTGACAGCAAACACCCCAGAGGTGACATCAAACCCCCAGGAGGTGACACAAAACACCCCAGAGGTGCCACCAAACATCCCAGAGGTGACACCAAACACCCCAGAACAGCTCTGGGAGCTCAGGAGGTGCCACCAAACCCCCAGGAGGTGACAGCAAACCCCCCAGAGGTGCCACCAAACTCCCCCTGAGCCGTTTCCCACACCCACAGAGGCTTCTAACCAAAAAATAAAAGGGCCACCAGACCCTGCAGAGGTGCCACCAAACACCCCAGGAGGTGCCACCAGACCCCCCCAGAGCAGGTCTGGGAGCCCAGGAGGTGCCACCAAACCCCAGGAGGTGACACAGGACACCCCAGAGCAGGTCTGGGAGCCCAGGGGGTGACAAAAGTCAGCCCAAGATGTGCCACCAAACACCCCAGAGGTGACACCAAACCCCCCAGAGATGACACAGGACAGCCCAGAGCAGCTCTGGGAGCTCAGGAGGTGACACCAAACACCCCAGAGGTGCCACCAAACATCCCAGAGGTGCCCCCCCGCCCCCCCCCCCCCCGCGGGTCGCGCCCCCCCAAAAGCGGCCCCCCCCCCCCCCCATGGAAGGATCGTTGCAGGCGAACGCGAGAGCCAAGAGCCGTTTATTGACCATCGCCCCGCCCGGGGGGCACAAAACCAGCCCCCCCTCGGGCCGGGAACATTCCCGGGGTGTCCCACGACATTCCCGAGGCTTCGGAGCTCCCCCGGATCCGGCCGGGGGGAGGAGGGAGGGGGGCGAGCCCTGCAAGCCCCCCCGGGAGCCAAAACCAACCCCCGGGACCCCCAAAAAAGTTCGACATCCAAACCTCAGCCGCGGCCAAACCGGGGAGAGCAGGAGGAGGGATGGGAGGAGCAGGAGGATGGGAGGAGGAGGAGGGATGGGAGGAGGAAGGATCGGAGGAAGAGGGATCAGAGGAGCAGGAGGAAGGATGGGAGGAGGAGGAATTGGAGGAGCAGGACAGATCAGAGGGACAAGGAAGTGACTCCCAAGCTCCTCCCAACCCCCTCCCCCCCTTCCAGGGAAGGCAAAACCACCCAAAAAACCGGGATTAGAACAAGCAGGACCCGCGGCTGCCGCCTGTTCCCTCCCCCGGCCGGGCTGCTCCGGGATTTCAGGGAAAGGCTCCTTCCTGCCGGGAATGAAATCCAGCAGCTCCACCACCTTCACATCCCTCCTTTTTTTTTTTGGCTGTTTTTTCTCTTTTTCCCATCCCCAGCTCCGCCCAAATGTCCTTTTTTTCCCAGGGATTTCCACATTCCCGGGAATCTCTGCGGCCTCTCCATCGTGGGGGGGGCTGGGCTGGCAAATCCTCAGGAATTCTCTCCCTGGTTTTGGGACCCCCCCGGGAGGGAGGGGGAGGGCAGGGCTGCAGCAATTCCATGTCCTGGATGGATCCCACGGATCCCATGGATCCCACGGATCCCAGGGCTCTGCCCTTCCCGAGGGGAGACACTCCACCCCCGGGGGGCAGGGGGAGGGCTCAGCATTCCCAGGATCCAGGAGGGGAGGGCTCAGCATTCCCAGAATCCAGCAGGGGAGGGCTCAGCATTCCCAGGATCCAGGAGGGGAGGGCTCAGCATTCCCAGGATCCAGCAGGGGAGGGCTCAGCATTCCCAGGATCCAGCAGGGGAGGGCTCAGCATTCCCAGGATCCAGCGGTTCCGCTCCAGCTTCTGGCAGCAGGGGGAGGCTGTTCCCATGTTCCCAGAATTCCAGAGGCATTCCCATGTTCCCAGAATTCCAGAGGCATTCCCACAGCCCCGGGAACACCCCCACTCCTCTCCAAGGCCTCTCTCCTCTCAGTCCAGGCCCGGGAGCCGCCGGTGCTTCCCGGGTGGATCCCTCCAGGCTCCGAGTGCAGCTTCCCATCGGCGTCACCATCCTCGTCCTCATCCGGGAGGAAGAGCGGCCAAACCTTCCGGAACGTTCCGGCGCCTCCCCCCTCCCTGGGGGCTGTTTCCCGTCGGGAATGGTGCCGGGGGCAGCTCTGGGAGGGGGTTGAGCAGCTGGGGCAGCCCCTGGGAGCCGAGGCTCAGCGGATCATGTAGGCCAGGCCCGCCCCCAGCCCGGCCACCCCCGCAAAGGCCACCAGAACCTTCCGGATGCTGCCCTCCAGGTCCTCCACCCGGAAAAAGTCCACAAAGCCCTCCTGGGGAGAGAAAGGGGGGAGTCAGGAACACGCCAGGAACCTGCCAGGGATGGGGCCTGGCAGGGAGGGAGGGGAGGGAAGGGAGGGAGGGACAGGGCCTGAGCGGCACAGCCCGGGGGGACCCACAGCACAGCCCATCCCACTGTGCTCCCCCATCCCAGTGTATCCCAGTGTGCTCCCACAGCCCATTCCATCCCATTCCACTGTGCTCCCCCAGCCCCATTCCAGCCCAGTGTATCCCAGTGTGTTCCCCCAGCCCATTCCAACACAGCCCATCCCAGTGTGCTCCTCCAGTCCCATCCTATCCCACTGTGTGCCCCCAACCCAATCCCATCCCATCCCAGTGTGCTCCCACAGCCCCATCCCATCCCAGTGTGCTCCCAGAGTCCCATCCCAGCCCATCCCAAGTGAGCTCCCACAACCCCATCCCATTCCATTGTGCTCCCCCATCCCATCCCATCCCATCCCATCGTGCTCCCACAGCCCCATTCCAGCCCAGTGTATCCCAGTGTGTTCCCCCAGTCCCATTCTAGCCCAGCACATCTCAGTGTGCCCCCCCAGCTCCATCCCAGCCCCTCCCATCCCATCCCGCTCCCCCAGTCCCATCCCATCCCATCCCATCCCATCATGCTCCCACAGCCCCATCCCAGCCCATCCCAAGCAGTTCTGGCTCCCTGTGAGGAGCTCCTGGAGCCCCCCAACCCCCTGGGAGGAACTCCTGGAGCCCCCCAATCCCAGTTCCCTCAGGAAGCTCCTTGTGAGGAGCTCCTGGAGCCTCACAAACCCTCTGTGAGGAGCTCCTGGAGCCCCCCAACCCCAGTTCCTTGTAGGAGTTCCTGGAGCCCCCCAATCCCAGTTCCTTGTAGGAGCTCCTGGAGCCCCACAAACCCCCTGTGAGGAATCCCCCAGTCCCAGTTCCTTGTAGGAGCTCCTGGAGCCCCACAATCCCAGTTCCTTGTAGGAACTCCTGGAGCTCCCCAATCCCAGTTCCTTGTAGGAGCTCCTGGAGCCCCTCAACCCCAGTTCCCTCAGGAAGCTCCTTGAAGAAGCTACTGGAGCCCCTCAACCCCAGTTCCTTGTAGGAACTCCTGGAGCCCCACAAACCCCCTGTGAGGAGCTCCTGTAACCCCACAACCCCAGTTCCCTCAGGAGCTCCTTGTAGGAACTCCTGGAGCCCCCCAGTCCCAGTTCCTTGTAGGAGCTCCTGGAACCCCCCAACCCCAGTTCCTTGTAGGAGCTCCTGGAGCTCCCCAATCCCAGATCCTTGTAGGAGCTCCTGGAGCCCCCAATCCCAGTTCCTTCTAGGAGCTCCTGGAGCCCCCAACCCCAGATCCTTGTAGGAGCTCCTGGAGCCCCCCAACCCCAGTTCCCTCAGGAGCTCCTTGTAGGAACTCCTGGAGCCCCCCAGTCCCAGTTCCCTCAGGAAGTTCCTTGTAGGAGCTCCTGGAGCCCCCACCCCAGCTCTTGCCACCCATGGGTGTCCCTGTGGGTGTCCCCATGGTGGTGACTCATCCCCATCCCGGCGCCGGCCGTGGGAACACCCCGGGGCAGTGGGAACACCCCGGGGCAGTGGGAACACCCCGGAACTGTGGTGACTCACCCATCCTCCCTGGCTGAGCAGCCATTCCCTCCTGGATGACACGAGGGCGTCGGTGAGGATCTGGGCCAGGGCAGTGACCCCCCGTTCCCGCTGGGGGCCCCGCAGCTGCCGCGCCACGAAGGCGCCGAAGGCCAAGAGCGTCACCACCCGGCCCCAGTTGGTGACCCCGTCGCTGAAGACGTGGTTGGCCACCTCCAGCACGGCCTGCAGGTCCTGCTCCTGCCGCAGCTCCAGCTTCCGCAGCATCCCTGAGGGAGAAACTCGGGAATGGAGCGAGGGGACGCGCGGGGAACCACAAACTCCAGGGAAAAAAGGGTGGGGGAAAGTCCTGCTGCCTCAGGGGCTCTGGATCAGCTGGGACAGACACAACCCAGCCCAGGGCACACTCTGAGCTCCTTCCTGCCCCTCCCTCGTGGACTCTGAGCACGTCACACTCCCTGTGTCAAGGTTTTCCAGGTCAGAACTGACCCAGGGCAGAGTCCAGTCCCTGGAGCTCAAACCAAGGACACCCCCCAGAAGCTCAAACCAAGGACACCCCAGGCCCAGGCAGAGCTTCCTCAGAGGGTTTTGCTGCCCAATATTCACGTGAAACCACGTAAAACCCAGCCCAGGATACACTTGGAGCTCCTTCCTCACTCCCCTGGCTCGAGGCTTTCCAGCCCCACCAGGTCAGAACTGACCCTGGGCTGAGCCCAAGCCCTGGGACAGAAACCAGGGACA